GTGTGTGTGCGCCCTAAAAGTTGCCACACCAGCATAAATAATTTTTTTTGTACATGGATCAAAATTTAAATTTAAGATATATATATATATATATATATATATATATATATATATATATATATATATATATATATATATATATATATAATAATCAACCATTAGTTCAAAAAAAAATAATGTTACCTGGCATTATTTTTAATTTGTTCTTCCCTTTCTTGGCGATATCTTTCGTTTCTTTCCCAATTTACAAATTATACTTCCCTTCATATTTATTTCCCGTTTGTTTAGATATTTACTACTACCGAAATATCTTCCATTTGATTGGTCATATTTTCATTCTTTATTTTTTTTTCTCCGTTTACAAAATTACGTTCCTTTTATTTTCATAATGTTTATGATAAAATCTTTCCTCTTTACTATTTTTCTCTTTATCGCTCTATTCTTTATTTCTCACTTTTGGTGTTTGCTTTCGTTGTCTTTTCGATTCTTGTAATTCTATCTCCTTTAAAAACGTATTTCTTCTTTTAATTCATTTATTTTAATTCGCCCGATTTACAATAACAAGCAGTTATTCAACTTCACATTTCTTTTACACACACACACATACACACACACACACACACACACACATATATATATATATATATATATTCATATATATATATATATATATATATTCACACATTGATTGATTGATTTATTTCGTTATACATTAATCAAATTTAACGTCCTTCCTTTTTATTTGTTGTATTTTGATTTAAATTGGCCCAATCAAATTAATGCCCAACTTTAACTAATTGAATTTCACTTTTTAAATTCAAAAAATCAAATTTTTTTTTTTTCTTCTTTTTCTTCTCTTTTATATTAAAAATCGTCAATATATGCAGAAAAAAATATTTAAAAATGTTTTGCTCAACCATGCTTGATAAATAAATTATTGCTTGATGGACGAGGTTACAAATGCAGATGTCTGACAAAAGATTATTTTAGCCACAGAAGCAGCTAAAGCAGGCCTATTTTCTCGCCTTGTCTTGTTTGTCGTCTGCTTCTTTCAATATTCTGCAGCTCTGCTGTTACTAACTTTCGCTTAAAGGGGCCTAGATTTCCGAGTTTTACACATTTGTTTTAGCCACTTCTTGCAACGACGCACGGTTCTTTGTTTCTAATAACATTACGGCAAACAAACTTTGTGGCCAAATATTGGGTTATGTGGTATTCGATGATCGTGCAGCAGTGGTAACCGCCATTTTTTTTTTATTCTTCCTCGCTCGTCCCTTTATTTAGCACTGACAATAGTACGTTAAGTGTAGCTGAAACGATCCGACTGCTTATATTACAGATACAGTTATTGGCAAGAAAATGCCTCATATCTTTACGTGTTTTGTTTTTGTTTTATTTCTCGTTTCTCTTTACTTGATGTGATTTGTTGTTAGCCGGAAACGATTTTACCTTTGTAGCTCCGCGAGCAATATATCGATTTTTAACCTTTTTTTTTCCTTTCAGAAATCTCCGGAACATTATCGAGTTGCTATAAATTTCGGCATTTCACACCAAGGCGCCAACTCAAAGCCTTATTTAAAGAATATCAATGCAAAAAGAAATACAATAATTTGGCAATGGAATTGGTTCTATCTTTTTTCTGACCGAAGCAAATCAATTTACTTTTACTGACGATATAGGCCGTAATTTCAAAGAGAGTTACAATTATAGAGATATCATAATTATTTTTGTATAATGCATACTCTTGTATAGTACGCAGTCGTAATTTTGCGCTAAGACATTCTGGAAGAAAGTATATCTTTATTTTAACATGCGCTAACGGTTAGAATGTACACTCATGTATAATACGCAATCGTAATTTTGCGCTATGACATACTGGAAGAAAGTATATCTCTATTTTAACATGCACTGACGGTTAGAACGTACACTCATGTATAATACGCAATCGTAATTTTGCGTTAAGACCTTCTGGAAGAAAGTATATCTCTATTTTAACATGCACTGACATTTAGAATGTACACTCATGTATAATGCGCAATCGTAATTTTGCGCTAAGACATTCAGGTAGAAAGCGTATCTGTATTTTAACATGCACAGATATTTAGAATGTACACTCATGTATAATACGCAATCCTAATTTTGCGCTAAGACATTTTGGAAGAAAGCATATTTCTAATTTAACATGCACTGATATTTAAAATGGACACTCATGTATAATACGCAATCGTAATTTTCCGCTAAGACATTCTGAAAGAAAGCATATTTCTAATTTAACATGCACTGATATTTAAAATGTACATTCATGTATAATGCGCAATCCTAATTTTCCGCTAAGACATTCTGGAAGAAAATATTTCGCGGCTAACGAGCAAGAACAAAAGAAGAATTATCAGCAGCGACAGCAGTTAGCGATTGACATTGCATTACAATTTTTGTAGATTAAAGCTGGTTGGAAAGCATGGAGGCGGAAGCGAGTCCCGCCAGCGAGAAATGTGACGAAGGGAAACCTTTAGTATAGAATTTACGGGTATCCATTTCATTTGTCAATTGATGACACCTTGTTGACAAGTACTGCGTTTAAATTGATAGATTAGGTACCATCGTGAAAAATCCACGTGAAAAATTACCATGAAGATACTTATAGAAAAGATCAAGGGAGATAACTCGATGGCGGTGGGAAAGTGACTAAAACCGAAACACCAGATCAGGGCCAATAATATTGCAGATCCTTCCTTGGAGTTTATCAAGAATATAGAATTGTTACAAAATAATTAGCTGACAGCAACTTTAAGCTATTGGCTTTATTTAAAGGTATGTTTGAAGAAAAAGTAAGAGAAAGAAGTCCTTTGAATTTGGAGGAACTAGAAGCTATTTTCAAGGAAGAATGAAACAAAATATCTATCAGTGTAGACGATGATCTTGTAAGAAGCTATAAAAAAATTATTAAAGGCAATAATCAAGAATCAAGGTTAAACAATTGATTATTGAGGCAACAGAACCAATATTATTGTCGTATATTACATTTTGGTATTTTTTGTATTATTGTTTGACAAAAAAAAAATTTTTTTGTTTCAATTTATTCTCAAATATGTTCCTTTCAAATCCATTTGTTCATAAGTTTGAAAAAAGGCATATTAAATTTACAATATTTTTTGAAGATTTCTATTACAGCTCTATTTGTAATTATGGAACACGGTGAATAATTATTTCCATAACACTTTATATATATATATATATATATATATATATATATATATATATATTTATATATATATATATATATAATTTTAAACTGTTTGTTTCTGATCATCAACCATTATATCTCATTTAAATATTCATGGAACCTACCGGACACTTTTCCTAATATACTTTATTGTTTAATATTTTGAATTTAAATTAAATTTATTTACAAAAATTTTATATATATATATATATATATATATATATATATATATATATATATATATATATATATATATATATATTATAAATATTTTTGACTAAAAATACACTATATAAAACTTAAATAAAGTATGTTAGGTAGTTCTCCATGAATATTTAATTTGAATTTATAATTGAAACTATGAAAAATAATAGAAACATATATATATATATATATATATATATTTATTTATTATTTATATATATATACAAGCAGCATGGCCCGCAAATTGCCCGTGCTTGATTAAAAAATCGTACGACTCATACAGCAATCGCTATCACTTGACTTAAAATATTTTTTTATACTTCCTTGCCTTTAAAGGAGTGCCCTTTGCCATGCTGATGTTGCTCCATCTTTACTTCTTGCCTATCTCACACTGCGAATTTTTTTTAAGCTCTATAACTTAAATCTGGAAAAACTAAACAAAATGAACAAAAACGATCATTTAAAAAAAGGACTCGTAACTGGAAAAACTGAATGAAAAAAGAATGTTAACAGCAAATACTTTTTCACACCTAACCCAGTTCTGCAGAATCAGAATCAACGTTGAGTTTAAGCAAGCAAATGAACCAATTGGAGTAAAGTGCTATGCAGATTTAAATTTTTCCCACTTGTGACGAATGCAGCTATCGATTTTTTTTTGCATGCTAGAATGCTAGTTAACATTCGTGTCAGTCAACTCACACGCTGGCCAATTCTTCTTGCCTATTCGTGGCAGCCAGCTATTGTCTCTCACTCTTGCCAGTACAAAATGGCCACAAACTACATGAAAACTGCCGTAGAAGCATGAAAAAAATAGATTATTTCCACTATCGATGGGAGTTGGGAAATGCAAAGTCGGTCTTGGCCTTCCCGCTAACTTGGAGCATGTGCATATAAATTTTGGTGCAAATCCGTCGAAAATTGCGGCCGTGCATTCGTTACACACACACACACACACACACACACACACCTCCTGCCAACACACATATATATATATATATATATATATATATATATATATATATATATATATATATATATATTGTGTGTCTTGTGTGTGACCTGAATAATTTTTATATATGTTTATTCAATATACAATTGTTGAGAAGATAAGCGTCAAACATATGTTATTTATCTCCGCTTTTAAACGAATTGTATACCTGTATATATACCTTCATGTATAAATACACCCTATTTTAAAACTTTTATGTAAAATTAAACTTATACTAAAGACTTCACTCAAATAAGACAATGAAATATTAATACGTGTCTGCTTGTGCCTATATATATATATATATATATGTGTGTGTGTGTGTGTGTGTGTGTGTGTGTGTGTGTGTGTGTGTGTGTGTGAGGGAGTTTGTGTGTACGTTTGTGTGTGAAGGTATGTGTTCGCAGACGTTCGATACCATATCTAAAATATGCCTCTTTAAATTTTCTTCGTTGCTCAAGATGGTTTGCCTAAAGACGAAATATTTTTAAATCAATATAAGGGAATATAAATCCTTCCGGAAAAAATTATTCTGATAATCTATCGATGCTAAATCCTACCCTTCCGTCTTTCTCTTCACTTCAGCATCCACCTTCTTTACCTATTACCTACACACCGGAGGCGGTGACGTTTTGAGGATGGATATTATGGCGCCAAAAAGTACGGGTGTCCACACTCAACAAAATCCAATGATTTCTGTTTCTCACTTTGTATTTAGGCTAACGTCTCTACAGAGATTTCCTACGGATGCCTGTAGGTCTATCAATTTTTACGTTTCTTGGTTGCAATAGATTTAAATTGAGTATTACAAGAAATAACATATTAAAATTTCTTTGCCGTTAAATGCTTTTTTAGAAAGGTTATGATTCTAGATGAACTATTTCTTCTTCTTCTTCTTCTTCTTCTTCTTTTTCATCTTCTTCTTTTTCTTCTTTCAATCTTCTTTTTTTTTTCTTCTTCTTTTCGTCTTCTTCTTCTTCTTCCGGCCATATATTCTTGCAATATTGAATCAAGGCCATCTTTCAAAATGTTTAAGCATCGTTGAACCTGGTCACTATCTATATTTTGATTTGTTAAAAATATCAGGTGCAAAAACATTGGATGTATGAAAATGTAATGTTCGATTTAACGTCACGACCTTGTTTCTTAAAACTGAGATCATTTTCAATTCCTGTTTTTCTCGTTATAGTCACGCGTTTTAAAAATACTCTTATAAAAGGTATGATTACACCGCTTCTCCTCCTAGATATGGGTTAAATAGTAAGAATTATATTAGAAAATTATTATTATATCCAAAAAAATTCTTACAATCCCAAAGGTTTTCGGATTTAAATCAATAAAAGTTTTTCTCTTTCGTTTTCTCTTCTGTTTGCATATTTTTCACTTTTTCTTTCCTTTTCTTTCATTCTCTTAAAATTCTTCTCGATTCTTTTCCCAAATTTATTTAATTTTTTAGTTTTGTCTTTCACTTTCTTTCGTTCTTACTTCATCCCAATGTAAAGTCTTTTGTCATACATATTGTTGTGGATTCCGTGGAGGAAATCCGGTCTCAAAATGAATGACAAACACAGGAATGAAATATAGCAAATAAATGTATTGACGTAATAATACAATTGGTAATACGGTTAGTAGATCCAGAAATGCGGTTAGTAGCAATAATAATATATATATACAGTCTGGGAAATTCAGTATCGAAGTATGACTTCCTTCTGAGTCTACGTGCTCGCAACTGTGACTCCTACAAAGAATAGACCTCACACTCTCTTTGTAATGTCTTCCAACTTCGGGTATTCACCGGCAGCAGTAAAAATCCACTTAGTCTAGTCACTAATGAAAAAGGGGTGGACCCCTTAACACATATCATTCTTCCTTTACTCCACTTTTGCTTCATTCATTCATTCATTCATTCTTCTTCAAGAAGTTCATCTTCTTTTTTCTCATTTCAAAACTTTCCTTCTTCCTCCCCCTTCTTATTTCTTTCTTTCATTATTTCTTCTTCCTCTTCATTATCGTCCTCTCTTTTCTTTTTATTTACGTCTTCTTTTTAGCATTCACTTTTTTTTTCTTTTATTCTTTCTTCTTCCTGAAGAATTTCCACTTGTTGTACTCATTCAATCCCAAGCGAAGCAATAAAGCCACTAAGACGCTAGGGGTTACTGTGTGTGAAATATTATGAGAAAAAAACAAAATATCATTAAGGCAGGAAAACAATAACAGAATGGAGATCAAGAAAACAGAAGATAACAAATTGACAACGTATTGAAATATTTGACGATGGAAATTAATTGGAAACCAAAAGACGAGAAGAGAGGTCCATAAGCGAGAAGAAACTATTAGCATAGAATTTACGGTTACATTTAGTCATTTCAACTGTAAAATGATAAGACCTATCTGCCAATCCAGCAGCACGCTTGAATCAGTAAAATCAAGGCAACAATAAGCATGGAAATATTTATAGAAAAACAAAGGGAAATGGTGGTGGGAAAGTGACTGAGGCCGAGATGCCAGATCAAGGCCGACAATAATGTAGATTATTCTTTGTATTTTATGAAGAATCTCTAGATTCATAGCAGAAGCAGATGTAACCGCAATATCCGATGGAAGGACGAATTGAAGATTTAAAAATGCATCAGATAGATTCTGGTGAGGAAAAAAAATGTCTTGCACAAACAATAGTAACTTTCCCCTCTTTTTAATTTTTTTCGGACGTTTTCAAAAATTTCTGCTTTCGTACATTTGCAAAATTCAAAATTTATTCAGGATTCTCCTTCACTTATTTTATTTCAATGTTCTTCGTCTTCATTTACATTCTCGTCGTGTATTTTCTCCCTTTCTTTTGTAACCTAGGGAAGTGTTGAGATGTTGTTTTAAAAAATTGCGTGTATTGAAATAAGGACAAATCATACGTAGGAAAAATATTGATATATCTGAAGAATATTTACAAAGAGATTGCATTTAGTAGTCAAACGAACGCAGGTTAGTCATAACAATCAGAAAGAGAAGCATAAAGTCCAACCCATCTTCAAATAGAGAGACAGAAACTGTGATGGTAAATGATCTCCCAGAACTCTAATAGAACTGTCCTATTAATAGTAGAAGGATCAGTCCATTCTGATGAGAAATTGGGTGGCCCCAATGAGAAAATTACAGAATAGAATAATCAAACAAATTTGTTGGTAATGAACAATAATAATTTGGAAAATTAAAACATAGAAATTCGTCAGCGGCGCGGAAAAAAAATCTAACTGCTAGAAAGTGAAGAGTCAAATGAATCTCCAACTGCAGACCAACAAATACATCCGATAGTTAATTGTTTTATGTGAACACAACAAAATTCAAAATTTGATTATCATCCTTTATTTAAAATCTTCATCTATCTATCATTCTACATATCTATCTTTCTCTATATCTATGTCATTGTACGCTTTTCTATCTATTTATCTATCTGTTCTTAACCTAAAAAAGGATATTTTCAAAATAATCACATAAGGTTAGTAATGAACGATAATACTTAGGATAAGAACAAAACATATAAATCTGATTTTATTTATATATTATTAGTAGCCATCTGCTATGAAGTTTTTTTTTTAAATTCCACAATGAATCTCCAACTGAATAATATCTACCGACCGATGTATCTTTTTTAATTTATGTTGAATAAGCCAAATTTAATTTGGGAAATCTGATTTTAAGGCTTTTAAAATAGAGATATTACCCTATATAAAAAAAAAGCAATAATATATTTCAAATAGAGATCAGATTTCGTCTGATACCATTTCTGCTCGGAATTAATTTTCTTTCTGTCAACACAGCTGGAACGAAACATTTTGATGCAGACCAACATACAGTATTAAAAGAGAAAATTTTTTTTTAATGAGGAATACACATTATTGTCCGTAGATATTTTACATTTGTTACATAATTATCATATTTTTTTTAAAATTGTGTTTCATTTATTTTTTTCTAAAATTATCCCAGCATATAATGTTTTTTCGTCTTACCCAAGACACGGATTAGTTTATCGTCTTAGCCATACGCGGATGTAGTTTATCGCCTTATCCAAATAATTGTAGTTTATCGTCTTATTGGAGGACGCGGATGAAGTTTATAGTCTTACCCAGGACGCGGATGTATTTTCCGTCTTACCCAGGAAACCCATCGGATTTAATTATTGTATTACCCAGCATGCGGATATAAAATAGTTTTACCCATGACGCGGATGTATTTATCGTCTTACCTGGGATGCGGATATAGATTGTCGTCTTTCGACCCAGGACGCGGATGTTTGTTATCGTCTTACCCATGACGTTTATATAGTTTATCGTCATACCCAGGACGCGGATGTGGTTTATCGTCTTACCCAGGACGTGGATGTAGTTTATCGTCTTACCTCATCACGAATGTAACAAATCGTCTTACCCAGGACGTCAAATCAGAAACGTATTGAAAGGTTTCGAGCAGAAGAAACGTTGATTAAAGAACCTAAAGATTTTTTTTTTATGGCTTATGAACCCCTTTTTTACAGTGAGGTTCACCTTGTACAAAGCGAGGGGCCAACTCGAAGTACAGGGTTACAGAGTAAGATGCATAGGTGTGTAAGATAACGTTAATCTTAGACGTGAACAGATTACGATTGGAGTGATCGAGAAAACATCCACTTGGAAATCGGTTACACAGACCAGTGGTCCCCGAGAAGAAGTTACTCGAGGGGAACTTACATCTCACCAGTGTAATACTGAATGCGGTTTGCTACAATGTTTTCCATCGTGTTGTGGCTGTAAGTCCATTATACCACCCACACATCCATGCTTATGACAGATAGCATTCCCAAGTGGTCACCCATATAGGTACTGACCAAACTTGACGTTGCTTAATTTCGGTGATCCTACGAAAACTGACGTTTCAACATGACATGACCGTAAAGATTTTGTATGAATAGATGTCAGATGTAGAAAAATCACGTGGTCGAGATAAACACTCAATTTTGGAGCAAGCTAAGTGAATGATAACTCCACCTTGAGAAAGAGAGCTATTTACGGTGCCTTGTGCTAAAGTGGGATAGTCCATTGCTTGGGCTGTGATTGGCTGCTGTTACCTGAGTGGAAGTATTTCTATATAAATACCAGCTTGATTCATCAGTTAGTTTGCAGGTTTTGTATCAAGTTACAACCTGCTTTATTTTTGTCTGCCAGCTGGACGCTAGCTGGGACCCTTATGCCGGTAAGTGCTGTTTATTGTATTGTTATTCTACAGAGATGGAAAAAGTGATCCTAATGATTAAAACAAACGAACGGAACTTATGGAAGGCCATGATCCCCTAAAATATGAAGGGGCACAATACCAGAAAGGAGGATGTTTCTTTTCATTGGTTGATTTCATCATTTCTTCAGTGACCTTAATGAGATGTATTCCTTTTGAAATGCCAACCAGTATTATTTGTATATTTGAAAATAATTCTCCCTAAAATACTTCTCTCTATTGATTTTTCTTTCTCAACTCTCGTAGCTTCGCCGTTTTTTTATTTCAAGTTTTATTTTTTCATCTTTCTACTTTTATGCTTCTGTATTCAGTACATTTTCATGAGTGGAATAAAGGGGTCTCTATTCAGCTAGACATAATTTTTTTTATTTCTATTGCTCGTTTTTGATGTTTGCTCTGTGGGTAATGAACACACACAAAAAATGCGCCTAAGCAAGCGTTTGCAATAGGGATTAGTTAGTCGACGGGTAATCTCGAATATTAGTAGACACAAATAAAAAAAACATCTATCTATCTATCTATCTATCTATCTATCTATCTATGTCTTTCTTTTTTTAGTATCTATCTGTGTCTTTCTTTCTGTTCGTATCTATCTATCTATCTATCTATCTATCTATCTATCTATCTATCTATCTATGTATTTCTTTCTGTTCGTATCTATCTATCTAAATATAACATCTATCTATCTATCTATCTATCTATCTATCTATCTATCTATCTATCTATGTCTTTCTTTCTGTTCGTATCTATCTAATTGTAACATCTATCTATCTATCTATCTATCTATCTATCTATGTCTTTCTTTCTGTTCGTATCTATCTATCTATCTATCTATCTATCTCAACGTAACGTCTATCTATCTATCTATCTATCTATCTATCTATCTATCTATCTATCTATGCGTTTCTTTCTGTCCATATCTATCTATCTATCTATCTATCTATCTATCTATCTATCTATGTGTTTCTTTCTGTTCGTATCTATCTAACATCCATCTATCTATCTATCTATCTATCTATCTATCTATCTATCTATGTATTTATTTTTTTATATCTATCTGTGTCTTTCTTTTCTGTTCATCTATCCTATCTATCTATCTATCTATCTATCTATCTATCTATCTATTTCTTTCTGTTCGAATCTATCTATCTAAATATAACATCCTATCTATCTATCTATCTATCTATCTATCTATCTATCTATCTATCTATCTATCTATGTCTTTCTTTCTGTTCGTATCTATCTAATTAACATCTTTCTATCTATCTATCTATCTATCTATCTATCTATCTATCTATCTATCTATCTATCTATGTATTTCTTTCTGTTTTATCTATCTATCTATCTATCTCTCTATCTATCTATCTATCTATCTATCTATCTATCTATCTATCTATCTATCTATCCGTTTCTTTCTGTCCATATCTATCTATCTATCTATCTATCTATCTATCTATCTATCTATCTATGTGTTTCTTTCTGTTCGTATCTATCTAAAAGTAACATCTATCTATCTATCTATCTATCTATCTATCTATCTATCTATCTATCTATCTATCTATGTCATTCTTTCTGTTCGTATCTATCTAAATGTAACATCTATCTATCTATGTGTTTCTTTCTGTTCATATATATCTATCTATCTAAACGTAACGTCTATCTATCTATCTATCTATCTATCTATCTATCTATCTATCTATCTATCTATCTATCTATGACACGTTATATTAATATCTCTCTCTCTCTCTCTTGATTACAATCATATAATTCAAATAATCTCTATCGCCGATGTTTACATTTACATTTCATCATCAATAATGATATAAGGACATACTTCATTCTAGAAATACATGTATTTTTCTAATTCTTTTTTTGTTTGAATAATTTTCAAAATTTCAGTGTGTAATATTGCAAATGCCTAAATCTTTCCGGCTAAATTGAAAATAATTCCCTAAATTGGCCACACCAATTATGTCTTCTTTTTTGAGATTATTGTATATTTTTGCTATTTGTTTTATATATTCTTATCATCCTCATTTTTCTCATCTCTACAATGCTAAACAAGAGAATTGTCATTATTCTTACTGACAGTATTAACGATGGTAACCGTGAATACTTCTTGGCTAAGAGAAGACAGTGACCTGGAGCCATGAAACGAACATGTTTTCAGTATATTCAGTCAATGGTTTATTACTGTTAACGCATATTTTCACAAGTGGTTATCGTTCTTTACGCTCACTAAAATAATAGACTGCAAATTTTATGATCCCGCAATCGAAAATTTTATATTTTCTCAACGTTTTCGGCAAGAAAATCATAGTCAGGTAATATAAGATTCATGCCTGGAATTACCACAGACCTGAAGCGAATGTAATAAAAAAAAAAACTTTCTTCTAAAAGATGCTAAGAATACCATAGTTGGAATATGTGAGTTATAGGAGGATTTGAGAAAAATGTAAATAAAAAAGACTTGTGATTAAGATCGAAAAAAACCAAAAAAAAAAACCGAGTTGAGCTTTCTGTGACGTAATGAGGAATGAAGGCTTGGAGAATGTCAGATTCTTGCTTGGAGAATGTCAGATTCTTGCTTGGAGAATGTCAGATTCTTGCCAATGTGCTCAGAAGAAGACGATTACAAGGAGATACGAGGAATGGTAGCAGATCTTCAGGAGACAGCGCAAAAAGCATCGCTCTTCTCGTTAAAGCGTGATGATGGTAAAATTGGTTGGCGCACAACTGATGGCGGTTAGCACCGATCCAAAAAAAGCCCTCCACAATGGAGGGTCCCTGCCATAACAGAATTCAGTACAGGAAAAGGGGCTGAAACTTGGCTCTTATGCTTCCTCTTGATGACTAATTTTGGATTGGATCCAGAAATGGAGCTGCTAGCTGGTTAGCAAGACTTTGTTTAGTTTTCCTTCCTTGCAAGATGAGAATCATTGTAAAGAGCTACAAAATACAGGGAAGTTGTGGAGAGTCACGGACCTCCGGAAAAAAAAAACGCATATTGAAGAAACAGAATGTTTCTGCTTCCGGCTTCCAATTTAATTTTCCTTCTCCCATTTTGATTATCATTGTAAAATTGCTTCCTGTTTAGCACTGTGTTTCCGGTTCCCTCTAAAGCCTATTCCTTCTATTTCATTACCTGTGGCCAACTCGGTGGCATTATAACCTTGTTATGATCGGTGTAAATTACTCTGTAACCTCTACCTTGAGTGGCTCTTGGGCCATGTACAAGGTGGTCATCGTTAGCTGATTGATGTTATATTCAGCACTTCGACTTGAGTGTTTCGCAGACAAAACGTTTGCAATTGTTCCGTCCACTCGTCTGGAGTTATCAGCATTTGACTGCCGACTTTCGCAGTTTCGTTATTTTAAAAAAATATAAATAAAAAACTGCAGCATTGCACGAAGCAAAGCCTTCCTCATATGATGACTGAGGACAGCAAGGGTTTCAGGAGTGTAGCATCATTTCTGTTAGACAGAAACTAGATCCTTCACTGAATAAACTCAGTGTGTGTAGATTTGTAGGGAAATCTGTATAATATGAAACTAAAATCTGTTCTTTCAATTCTCCAATGCACTGAAACTGCCTTCTTTAATAAATGCACTGAAACTGCCTTCTTTAATAAATGCACTGAAACTGCCTTCTTTAATAAATGCACTGAAACTGGCTTCTTCACTAAATGAAATGAAACTGCCTTCTTCACTATATGAACTGAAACTGCCTTATTCACTAAATGCACCGAAACTGCCTTCTTCACTAAATAAAATGAAACTGCCTTCTTCACTAAATGAACTGAAACTGCCTTCTTCACTAAATGAAATGAAACTGCCTTCTTCACTAAATGAACTGAAACTGCCTTCTTCACTAAATGAAATGCAACTGCCTTCTTCACTAAATGCACTGAAACTGCTTTCTTCACTAAATGAACTGAAACTGCCTTCTTCACTATGTGAACTGTAACTGCCTTCTTCACTAAATGAAATGAAACTGCCTTCTTCATTAATGAACTGAAACTGCTTTCTTCACTAAATGCACTGAAACTGCCTTCTTCACTGAGCAACAACGATAAAACTGTCTATCTTTTCGCCTTCATCGTCTAGTTATTTCTGCTTTACAGACAGACCAAAACTAAGATCAAGTTATAATTGACCCAGGCCTTAGGTGAACACTAGGATTGAGCTGAGATAACGCGATCAAAGGCTTTCACTCTATTCTTCTGGTGTTCGACTCAAAATATGGCTGAACGATTAGAGGTGCGAGGATTTCCAAGATACCACCATTCAAGATAAGCTCTCCCCCTCTACTCGACTATTATGCTTCACCTGTAAGTGTTTGCTTTCTGATATTCCGCGAGGAATTAGTTATCAAACGCATTTTTGATGGATGCTGGCTTCTTGTAGATCTCTTTGTCTCGATACGGGATTTGGGGTCTCTGATATTCCATTCCGGTCCTACTGGTATTAGATTCGAAGGTTAACCTTCGATTATCATTTAATGACTTTTAGTGAATTTTTCTTTCTTTCGTTCTTTCTGTTTAGCGTTTTGAGTTGTAGAGGGGAGGGTAACATCTTTTCTTTTCATCATATTTGATTTTTTTTCTTTTGTATTACCTTTCGTAATTCTTTCATTATCTTTTTGTTTTCTTTGTAAAATAATCTTTTTTTTCGATTTTAATCTTTCTTTCACTTTTCTTCCATTTTTTAAAGACCGAAGTATCTTCTTCGGAGAAAAGAAAAAAATCAAATAAAAAAAACTCTTAGATGTTTAAATAAAGAAATAAAGCACGAAAGATAAAAGAAAGAATGGTAAAAAAAATCAAAAAAAAAATCATTTATTTATTCCACTAAAATATTTTTGTTATCTACGTATATTTCATATATTTTATTCGCATCTTCTTTCTTCTGCGTCTTTTAATTACATTCTTTGTTTTTTTTTTTTTGTTCTTTCTTTCTTTTTAATCACAGTTGCTAATCTCATATATTCGGCCATTTTCATTCCTTTCGCCCAGACGTCGATCCTCATTCCTTTCGCCCAGACGTCGATCCTCATTCCTTTCGCCCAGACGTCGATCCTCATTTCTTTAGCACAGACCTCGATCTTCATTCCTTTCGCCCAGACGTCGATCTTCATTCCTTTTACCCAGACGCCGATCCTCATTCCTTTTGCCTAGACGTCGATCCTCATTCCTTTCGCCCAGACGTCGATCCTCATTCCTTCCTTTTCCTTAACCTCGATCTTCATTCCTTTCGCCCAGACGTCGATCCTCATTCCTTTCGCCCAGACGTCGATCCTCATTCCTTTCGCCCAGACATCGATCCTCATTCCTTTTGCCCAGACGTCGATCCTCATTTCTTTAGCCCAGACGTCGATCTTCATTACTTTCGCCTAGATGTCGATCCTCATTCCTTTCGCCCAGACATCGATCCTCATTCCTTTCGCTTAGACAGTTGCTCTTTAGTTATGATTCTTTATATAATCATTTATTTACTGTGGCATATTTCACCTCTTCTGTCTTTCTTTTTTTCATTCTTTCTTTCTTTCTTTCTTTCTTTCTTTCTTTCTTTCTTTCTTTCTTCTCTCTATTTCTCAATCATTTCTTCTTTCCTCTATCTTTGTTTCTTCATTTAATTTGTTTTGTTCCTTTACTTGATTCCTGATCGATGTCTGAGGAGAGGTTGCAACCAAGGAGGAGGCTTATATTTAACACCAGGAAGAGGCAGCTGAAGTTTCTGGGATACATAATGAGGAAGGAGGGCCTGGAGAATCTGATACTCACGGGTCAGATAGAGAGAAAGAGAGACACAAGAAAACAACGCATGACATACATGGCAGGTTTAAAAAGTGGTAACAGAACGTGGTCTGGGAGAGGAAGCAGAGGGAAGGAACTTGTTGGGACCTGCAAGGGATAGAGAGTGGTGGCGAGTCATGATCGCTTACGTCTGAAAGGACATGGTACATAAAAAGAAAGAAAAGCTTCTGTCATTCCTCTACCGTGGAGCTTTGTATTGCACTTCCCTTCTTTCTTTCTTTCTTTCTTTCTTTCTTTTATTTTTATGCTTTTTTCTTTGATCCTTGATTCTTTTATTCCTTTTTCTTTCCATTGTGTTTCCTTTCTTTCCTTCCTTCTTTCTTTCTTTCCTTCCTTCTGTTTTCCTTATTTCTTTCCTTCCTTCTTTCTTTCTTTCGTTCGTTCTTTCTTTCTTTCCTTCCCTCTTTCCTTCCTTCCTTCTTTCTATCCTTCTTTCTTTCCTTCCTTCTTTCTTTCTTTTATTCTTTTTTCCTCCCTTCTTTTTTCTTTATTTCTTTCCTTCCTTCTTTCTATCCTTCTTTCTTTCCTTCCTACTTTCTTTCTTTTTCTTTTTTTCCTTCCTTCTTTTTTCTTTATTTCTTTCCTTCCTTCTTTCCTTCTTTCTTTCCTTCCTTCCTTCCTTCTTTCTATCCTTCTTTCTTTCCTTCCTTCTTTCTTTCTTTCCTTCCTTCTTTCTTTCTTTTATTCTTTTTTCCTTCCTTCTTTTTTCTTTATTTCTTTCCTTCCTTCTTTCCTTGTTTCTTTCCTTCCATCTTTCTTTCTTTCTTTCCTACCTTCCTTTTTCTTTTATTCTTTTTTCCTTCCTTCTTTTTTCTTTATTTCTTTCCTTCCTTCTTTCTTTCTTTCTTTCCTTCCTTCCTTCTTTCTATCCTTCTTTATTTCCTTCCTTCTTTCTTTCTTTTATTCTTTTTTCATTCCTTCTTTTTTTATTTGTTTCTTTCCTTCTTTCCTTATTTCTTTCCTTCTTTCTTTCTTCCTTTCTTTCCTTCTTTCTTTCTTTCTCTCCTTCTTTTTTCCTTATTTCTTTCCTTCCTTCTTTCTTTCTTTTATTCTTTTTTCCTTCCTTCTTTTTTCCTTATTTCTTTCTTTCCTTCTTTTTTTCGTTCGTTCTTTCTTCTTTCTGCTTCTGTATCATTCTTTCTTTCCTGTATTTTGTTTTTTCGTTTATTTCTTTTTCCTTCATCTATTTACTATTTCTTTCAGGATACTGATTCATTATTGAAACTTGGTTTTTTTGTATTAAACTGATCCTCTTCCGCAGGAACCTGTTTTCATTTTAACATCAAAAACGTTTCCTTCCATTTATCAATTTAAAGGTAGACCGGCAAACGTTTCCATTATTCATGAAATATAACCATGCTCATATCCTTAAATCAATTTCCAAAACTTCATTCCTTATTTGAGTAAACAGCATTCAAATTAGAAATTTTTAACATAACGGATTCCATTTTCAAAAACTTCATCATTTTTTTTCTTGAGTCATGGTATTCTTTAAATCCTCTGTATAATGAAAACAAAAATACTAATTGAAAAGATATAGATTCACTTTCATATATCATTGATTTTAGGTAAAAAATACAGTATATTTTCTTTGATATAATAAAATTTTCTTTGTTTACACTATTTATTTTGGATCTTATCTTTTTTCAGTTCAAATAACGTTTCACTGTTGTTTTTAAACATTTTTCTTCATCGATCTAATATTTTCCCTGTTTTCTATATGTATTGTATTTATTTTTAATTTACATTTTCAAACTGTTTTGCTCATCTTTGTCGTCATATTTCAATCAAAGTTTTTTTCGTTTTACGCCCTTGGTCTTCTTTCCTTTCTATATTTCTCTGAGATTTCTATTTTGTAATTGTTCAGTATTTAAAATTTTATCGTTCATTTTTTGTCCTAAACTTAATTGCTTATCCACCTATTAGTTGAATCTACATTGAACTCAGACTCAGTTCATTGTCTATATTTGGCAAATGACTTTAAAAATAATTTTTATTTTATTCAGCATTTTTAAGAATTTGATTTTCATCAAATTCTTGTCATATTTCTACGTTTATAACGTTGTTTTTGGCAAATCCTCATCTTTTGTTTATATTTCATGAGATTTGTATTTTAATTAATTCCATCATTTACATTTTCAGGCAAACTGTTGTCCTCATCTTTATTGTTATATCCATAAAATTTCCCGTCGTTAAATTTTTATGGTTTTCTTCAGGATCTAATTATTTTTTTGAGATGATGTATTCTAATTATAAACATAGGTATAATTTATTTTACATGTATTTACATTGTCCTAATCTTCCTTTTTGTTACGTCGTTTCCCCATTATTTTCCCCGGCCTTCTTTAATGAGATATGTCTATCTTTTCTGAATATATTTCTATTTTATCATTATTTTGTTTTTGTTCAGATATTTCCTCATCTTTATTGATGGATTCACAACGTTTCGGCCTGTTGCTTTACTCCGGAATTCGTCAAATGATGGAATTTCAAAATGAAAAGTTTACTTCGTCAAAGTAATTTTTCTTTATTCTGGTTTCCAAAAAAAACCATCAATCAAATATAAATGCGTTAATATTATTCATCCTATTTTGACAATTTTAAAATATCTGCTGCTTTTATTTCTTTCAATTCATTTGACCAAGCTGAAGTGATAAAAAAAATAAAAAAAAAATTGGAGAATTGATTTAAATAAAGATAACTGATAAAAGATATCCACTTTAGGCTTTGAAGCGTGGAACTATATTCATTTATCTTTGAAAAAAGGACGAAATAAAGTTTCTTCTAAATTCCAGTCACCGATCGAAACGTCGTGATTTTTTGAAATTTAAGATGAGCATGTCAATTTTCTTTTTTAATATAAAATTTATAAATAAAAAAATATAAATTCAAATTATTTATCTTTCCTTCTATCAAGTCTATTTATTTATCCATGCATGTCGCATAACAATATGTTTTTCATTCTTTAAAAACATAAATTTTGATTCAAATTAAAATTCGAAAAATAAAATTATTATGTTTTTAAAATAACTCTCTATGTAACATTTAAATGGAACTGAGAAAATAAAACTATTTAAACCATCAATCATATTGAATTTTTCATTTGAATTTGTCATGAATTCAAACAGTATAACAAAAGAAAGTGTGGCCTTTGTCTTGTGAAGACCGTACTTTGTTAAATGTTTGCCTAGTTTTGTCTTAATGTTCTTTTTTGTCATGAGTATTTTTTTTTTTTCCACAATTAATTATTAATTTTATAATTTTGTTTTAATATTTTGCTTTGTTTTTATTTTCAAAGCATATATTGTTTGCTTAGTATTATTTTGCCGCTTTCTTTTTCTTCATTTTTTATTGCTTATTTAGAACTTATGAGAAAAATCCGCTTAGTTTGGGCATTTCTCTAAAAAAATGCATAAAATTTGAGCTTCCTCTCCATTTATCCCCATTACGGTTTAAAATTTCAATATATATATATATATATATTAGTCATATATATATATATATATATATATATATTGTGTAATAGGTTAGAAACGGTACAAAAAATTAAATAATAAAACTAAAAATGTTATATTGCAGGCCATGATAAGTTTAAAATAAAAATACAGTAAAATACCGGTTTCGTCCCCAAATTTCAGAAAATGGATTTGTTTTAGATTTATGAATAAAATAAAAAAAAAAAAAGTCTGTCATGGGTGATCCAATTTTGGACAGGGAAGGAAGGAAAGATTAAATTATACCAACCAAGTTATAGAAAATTGATTACAAGTCTCAACATTTTCTTTGTTTTTCCGCAAATAAATATATATATTTAATAAACCATATATGTAAATATTTTATTGTTGGCCTATATTATAACATTTGTTTATTTAATTTGTAATTATGAAATTTTCACCGACTATATATATATTTAAATATTTATATATAGAAAAAGATATTCCCCTGAGTCAATTAGAAAATTGAATAAATTGTTACAGATTAGGTCTAAAATTGAAATATTGAAGGTTAAGACTAATTTTTACATTCTTGTCTTCAGCACCATTATTGCCCATAATTTTTTTTCCTTTCGGATTAGGAGGGAAAGTTGGTGTCTGGTTGGAGTAAAGAAGAAAAATTATTAAGAATTTTCTCTTACAATTTTCTAACCAGGATTTGGGCCTACAGGAAGATATCATCTGTTATGGCGTGAGGCAGGTAATTATTTATCCTATTTTGATAGAATCCGCTTTGCCCGTTACGTTGGTTTGATATCTGCACGTTGTCGTTCTAAGATGGCTAGCAGTTTTCAGAATAAGTTGAAACAACTTATCTCCAAGAGATTTGGCTGTATGGTTGAACCAAATGCTACAAAAATGTAGTAAATTTGTCTTCTTATTCTCCCTCAGAGATTGAGCTTGCTATCTTGGCCCACGGCCTTAGATTTTAGCATTCCTTTCACTTCTATTAGTAGGAGAATATTTTTTCTGAATTTGAATATTGTATGCTCAACTCTCGAAACTTCAACCGGTGTCTGATAATAAATCCAGCGACTTTCGAGCTAAATTGAATGATTTGGCTCATTCTTATGCTAGTTCTCCCATTTCTTTCTCTGAATCGAAATGGAGAAGTGAACAAGGATAAGGTTATTAGATCCCTTAAGGATAACCATTCTTTGGTTATTACTAAACCGGATAAGGGATCTGGTGTTGTCCTCATGGACCGCCATGACTACATTAACAAAATGTTAACTATATTGAATGACCCTTCCAAGTTTCAACGTCTTGGTTCCATTGACACTCATGATTCTACATTGACTTCTGAAATTCGATTTCAGAAACGTCTTGTCAAATGGGTAAAAAGTGGTGTTCTTTCCTCTAAAATGGCGGAGGAATTGAGACCGTCTGGTTCTATTCGTCCCCGTCTATATGGATTACCTAAGATTCATAAGGAGGGTGTCCCGTTGAGACCCATATTATCGATGATTGGGTCTTCACAGCATAAAGTCGCAAAGTGGCTTGCTATAATGTTGCAACCAGTGTTGCAGCATTACAGTTCCTTTTGTATTAAAGATTCATTTTCTTTTTCCAAATTCATTCAGAATTGTGATGCCACTAATGGATTTATGTGTTCCTTTGACATCTGTAGCCTCTTCACTTGTGTTCCTTTATCGGAGACTATTGATATTTGCAGCGATATGTTATATCGCAGTGATTTGACTCCTCCGAATATACCTGAAGAAGTGTTCGTTGAACTCATGAAATTTGCCACTATGTTTGTCGATTTTAGTTTCGACAATATCATGTATCGTCAGATCGATGGTGTAGTGATGGGTTCCCCTTTGGGTCCTGTTTTGGCAAATATTTTTGTGGGTTTTTATGAAGAAAGCCTTTTGTTAAGTTCTGCCCGACCCAAGGTTTACTTTCGGTATGTTGATGACACTTTTTGTGTGTTCAGCCATGAATCGGAAGTGGATCAATTTTTTTCCCTACTCAATGGTGTTCATCCTGCCCTTAAATTTACAGTAGATAAGGAGGTCAATGGTTCATTGCCCTTTTTAGATGTTCTTGTTCAAAGAACTCCTTCCTTGTTTATTACCTCTGTGTACAGGAAGTCTACTTTTACAGGACTATATACCCGTTGGGACTCCTTTTGTCCTAAACAACAAAAGATTAATTTGATTAGGACCCTGACACATAGGGCGTTAATGATCTGTTCGGATGACACCTTGAAACATGAAATCAGTTGTTTAACTGAGATCTTTGTGAACAATGGTTATCCGTTGAACATTGTTCAATCGGTTATTCGAGATGAGACCGCCAGGTTCAACAAAATCAAACCTGCTTCAGTTGGTAAATGTCCGGTCTATCTTCGTTTACCGTGGTTGGGTAGGATTAGTGAATCCTTCGCCAAGCGTATTTCATGTAGTTCACGTGAGTGTTATTTTGCAGCGAACGTTCGTGTTGTTTTTCAAACTAAGTCCATACTTTCATCTATGTGTAAAGATGTTCTACCCCCCCACCATATTAACTCTGTTATTTACTATTTCAAATGTAGTTGTGGATGCGACTACATAGGTAGAACGACACAGCGGTTGGACGTGAGAATTAAACAACACGTACCTGCGATAATACTAAACAAAAAATTTTTTTTGGGCGATACCATTCGTAACACTTATGGGTCTTCGATTGCGGATCATTTTATAAAGAATCCAACTTGTGCGATGGATTTCAGTGTGAACTGGTT